GAGAGAGAGAGAGAGAGAGAGAGAGAGAGAGAGAGAGAGAGAGAGAGAGAGAGAGAGAATTTGTTACAATCAAGGAGCAATATCATATGTGTCATACGAGTTAATTTTCATCAAATTTTGCAGTGATTTGAAACGTGTCCAAAAGAGAGCTAGCTGAAACCTTTTGTAAAAAAATTGTGAGGAAGCAATGTGCATCACTTGCGTACGCGGTAGTCTGTTAAACTTATGTTCTGTATAGTATGACCCCTTGTTCAGAAGGGCCATCTGGGACTGGAAAAGAGGAGGGACATGTGTCGCATACATGGGCGTTTTTCTTGCCACTGTGTGTTCCCGATTTTTCGCTTTTTTAGAGACACCAAAACATGTTGGTTTCAGGTTCTTTCTTCTTCAGGAATTGGATTTATAAGTTTTCATTGTTAAAAAAAAAAGAAAAGAAAGAAAAAGAAAAAGATGCGAGGTCCTATTTTTGTGTGTGCTTTACACACGTCTTCCCTACTCAACATAGATGGTGTGCCGCTAGCTTCTAAAGAACAGGTTTGATCTGATGTCTGCAGCTCTGTTATTTTGTTGTGTTTATCGTTGTTTATGATGTGTTTTACGCTTTGTACTGTGATTTCGGTACTGGTCGATTTGATGCTGCAGGGACTCATGGAGTGTATATGTATAGACAAGACAGTAGGCAAAATAAAACACAATAAAACAATAATATGAATAGACATGGCACTCGCAGAAAGTTAAAGATAACTTAAACATAGTAGTAAAAAAAACGAAAATAGACAGGCACTATACTGAAATTGGTTTCTTAAGGAATAAACGTGACGCTATTCCAAATGTTGCGATGAAAATTGACGAATTCTGGAGGGGAAAGTGGAGAGAAAAGGAACATCCAGTGAAAACATCACACGTTGACAAACTACACCGTGAAATATCAGTCATTACAGACCACAGTCTTACAGGAAAGCACACTTAAGGCCAGTAACTGGGGATTTGAAGATTCGAGTTGAGGTACGTATAAGTAGAAAATGCGTTTAATTTGAGCTTATACGGCTAAAGATATATTGAACGCAAAGATAAAATTATAGACAGTCTCTATCCCCTGGTGTAAGTTTTATTGGAGTGTATGTTTCCTTACGCTAATACTTGTAATTCTTTCAAAGAGTGATTAACGCTCAAAATCATTCTGATAAATTACAAAAAATGCATCCTTAGTGATTCTTATTTCCACTTTTTGTCTTTTATAAGATAGTCACGCTTCTAAAAAGGCAACGTAATTGTGTTTCTGGTAAGATAGCGAAACGTGTAAAATATTTCTAGTTATTTGGTGATAACTGATCATTTAGTTTGAAAACCCTTACAACACCCCCCCTCCTCCAAAACAACAACAATAACAACCCCCTCCAAAACAAACAAACAAACAAACAAACAAAAACCAACAACCAAACAACAACATCAAAAACGAAAAAATAAATAAACAAAAACAAAAACAAAAACAACCCCCCCAACCCCCCCCCCCCTCACACCTCTGCTCAAGAAAAGCCCAACCCCAAACTTGCTACAAATTAAAATAACCCCTTCGGTCTATCCGAAGATATGGTATTGTGGTATTGATTTTACGACACGCCAATGTAAAGACATAAAATACGAAGTCGGCCATATTGCTTTCTTAATGAGGCTTAAATAAACCTGTGATTTTGGTCTGCCTCAGTTCCGTGCCTGACGATTTGTGCCGTGTGTTGTGGCTGGCTGGAGGGTTGAAATGACCCCAACTGTCCCGATTGATTGGCACTGTCCCGTTCCGGACGTTCCACGGGTAATTTGGCGGAGGAGAAGCATCCTGCTACAGGATAATGGAAAGCTTTCTAACATTACATGCGCGAGTGGGACAAACAGCCTACGTCAGACTTGACCTTGATGCTTTCAGCGAATGTTCCTAGGGTGATCTGATTTGTTGTCATTGACCTTAGAGAGTCTCGTGAACGTTGACATTGACCCCGTGCAGATAGGTCGTGAACCTTTTTTGAAATTGAAGGGCATTAATTCCAAATGAACGAAAGAACCCACACGCACATTTATTTCAACGACATACAATTTATGCACAAGGACACGAGCTGGTGTACGGCTGTTTTCTGGTTCGGCGTTAAAGAGGTTGATGGTTAGGTTGATGGAGTCTGGAGTCTCGGCTGAATAAATCTATGCGAGAAGTGGATAATACGTGTATGTAAACAACAAATTGGATTGTCATTCCAATAAGTGAGTTCTTATTGTAATAAACGTAGTGTCGTGCTTTCTCTTAAAATTCTTTATCTTTCTGCCACTAACTGTATGTTTGCCAGTTTGTTTGCCTAATGAGACGCATGAGTAATCCTTGGCAGAGAAAGAGTTGACAAGAAAAAAAGCTCTAGAAAAAAACAACCCAAGACATATATAAACAAACAACAACAACAACAACAAAAACCAGTTCTGGTACTGTGGAGGAAATGGGGAAATAACAGAAAAAGGGACAAGAAGGCACACTTGCAGCATATCTGGTATTTGTCCCTCTCTTTACAAAAAAAAGAAATAAACAAAAACAAAACATTGTAGAGGCCTTTCTCGAACAGTTGGAACCGGTGTATGTGGTGTAGGGGTCAAGTGCTTTGCTATCGCACGCAGGAGACTTGCGTTCGATTCTCGAGCGGGTAGAATTTTTATCGAGTATCTCAGTCTTTGTGCAGGTATGTTGTATCCTGTCTGTCTGTCTGTCTGTCTGTCTGTCTGTCTGTCTGTCTGTCTGTCTGTCTGATAAGGAATCAAGCCTAGCGAAATAATTACATGTATATGACGAAATTTTATACTTGGCTTTCTCTCCGGGCAAGAAGATTATACGAATGTAGCGTCGCGTGCCTAACGTTGCATTCATTTTGAAATTGTGATGTATTGTGATGTATGTGCCGTCCCTCCCACCCCGCCTGTGAAGTTTTTTTTATTTCTCCATCTTTAAAATTTCCTCTTCATAAAAACTACTCGACAATTATAAACTCATGACATCTCTCCAGCCAAAGCCAATGATTGATAACCGCCATTATTCTGGGTGACAAATTACCGGCGGTACTTAAAAATCCAAAACCTATTGGTGACTGAGATTACTGTGGACAGAAATTGCTTCTAATCTC